TCGGACTCCCAGTTGACATTATCAGCAGCAGTTATAAAATTGTCTATAGCAGTTTCATTGTGCAGCCTAAAACTTAACTCCCTTGACTCTAGAGGTGGTTTGCTAATGTTAGTTAAGAGAAATGTGGGGTAATGGTCTGTAGTGCTATCGGTGATTATACCTGAAGTAAGCGGAGAGGTTATGTTTGTCCAGATGTGATCTAGAGTCGTGGCAGTGCTATCAGTGATTCTAGTAGGTCTAGTGATTAAGGGTATGAGGAGGCAGGAATTCATACAGTTGAGGAAGCTAACAGCAGTAGGGTGTTCAGGCTCGCAGAGGTCAATATTAAAGTCCCCTGCGATAATTAGGTGGTTTTTGTTCAGTCTGTTATCAAGTATTAGATTTCTAAGGTTTGAGTTGAATTCGGACACATCAGTGTTAGGAATTCTATAGACTGCACCCACAGACAGGACAGACTCGGCACCCTTGACTCTGAAGCTGGCGAAGATATACTCCCCATAGCAGTCTCTAGTTCTAATTTCTTTTAAGCATGTTAGTTCTTGGTGGTAGTAAAGAGCAGTGCCACCACCTCTCTGAAGTTGACGACAGTTGTGAATTGCTGAGTAGTTAGGCATGTTAAAGAGCTGAGTAGTATCCACTTTCAACCATGTTTCAGTAAGTATCATGTGCTGCAAAATATCTGCAATTTAGATCATTAAAGTGATTATTGTCATAGATAGTGGATAAGAGGTTAAGTTCTGGGTCTATACTTGACTGCATAAAAGAAGCTGATTGTAGAATCAGAAATAAGTAGAAAAAAGCTATAAAATAGGGAAAAATATATACACAATACTGTACAAAACAAACACAAAAGGGGCTTACAGGGGTACAATGGAGTAAGGGTTAATTTTGGGTTAATTGGTTAATGGTTAATTTTAACTCCAATAAAGAAAAACTGACCTCATTCATAATGAAAAGGGTAGATTTATCATTTCATAAGAAAAAAATGAGAAAATATATTAATTCAGGAAAACTTGGCTTATTAGGCAAATCGGGCCATGAATAGTAGGCCAAAAAGTGCGTTCTGGCTACTAGGTACGACATATATATATATATATATATATATATATATATATATATATATATATATATATATATATATATATATATATATATATATATATATATATATGTCGTACCTAATAGCCAGAACGCACTTCTCAGCCTACTATTCAAGGCCCGATTTGCCTAATAAGCCAAGTTTTTATGAATTAATGTTTTTTCGTCTACCTAACCTACCTAACCTAACCTAACCTAGCTTTTTTTGGCTACCTAACCTAACCTTACCTATAAATATAGGTTAGGTTAGGTTAGGTTAGGTAGGGTTGGTTAGGTTCGGTCATATATCTACGTTAATTTTAACTCCAATAAAAAAAATTAACATCATACATAATGAAATGGATAGCTTTATCATTTCATAAGAAAAAAATTAGGGAAAAATATATTAATTCAGGAAAACTTGGCTTATTAGGCAAATCGGGCCTTGCATAGTAGGCTGAAAAGGGCGTTCTGGCTACTAGGTACGACATATATATATATATATATATATATATATATATATATATATATATATATATATATATATATATATATATATATATATATATATATATAACGCTGAACTGTAATGTCAACTGTAATGTAATGTAATGTCAAGTACAACCTTCAATGACAGCTTCATTGAAGGTTGTAACAGAACCCATGAGCACCACACCAGAAACAAATACCTTTTTGATATTCCAAAAGTGCGACTTAAAGTAGAAATGCTCTACAAATCAAGGGACCCAGAACGTGGAATGACCTTCACAATCATGTTAAAGACTGTACCTCTCCCAACCAGTTTAAGATAAAAACTAAGTTCTACCTAATTAACTCCCTGTAACCTACGAGTCTGGGAATAGACTCGTTCCTCTCATTGTTTGCTGATGCAAACAGTTATAAGGAGGATTAGGACCGAGGAGGATAGTATTAGGCCACAAGATGACCTAGACAAATTGAAGGAATGATCCAATACATGGGTGCTAAAGTTCAGTCCAAGTAAATGTAAGGTAATGAAACTAGGCGGTGGAAACAGGAGGCCAGACACAGGAGACCGAATGGGAGATGAATTCCTTCATGAAACGGACAAAGAAAGATCTAGGAGTTGATATCACACCAAACCTGTCTTCTGAAGCCCACATCAAAAGAATAACATCGGCGGCGTATGCGAGGCTGGCTAACATCAGAACTGCCTTCAGAAACCTGTGTAAGGAATCATTCAGAACCTTGTACACCACATATGTAAGACCAATCCTGGAGTATGCAGCCCCAGCATGGAGTCCGTACCTTATCAAGAACAAGACGAAGCTGGAAAAAGTTCAGAGGTATGCCACTAGACTAGTCCCAGAACTAAGAGGCATGAGTTACGAGGAAATGTTGCGTAAACTGCACCTCACGTCGCTCGAGGACAGAAGAGCTCGGGGAGACATGATCACCACATATCCAGGGGGCCGGTGGCTGAGTGGACATCCTGCTGGCACGTAACTCTGTGGCCCGGGGTTCGATTCCCCGGCACCAGGGAAAAACAATGGGCAAAGTTTCTTTCACCGTGATTCTCCTATTTCCTAGCAATAAATAGGTACCTGAGAGTTAGACAGCTGTTACGGGCTGCTTCCTGGGGGAGTGTGAAAACAAAAATTAGTTTAGTAACAGTTGATTGACAGTTGAGAGGCGGGCCGAAAGAGCAGAGCTCGACCCCCGCAAGCACAACTAGGCGAGCACCCATCAATCCACCCACCCATCAACCCACCCATCCATCAACCCACCCACCCATCAACCCATCCATCAATCCATCCACCCACCCATCAACCCACCCACCCATCAATCCACCCACCCATCAACCCACCCACCCATCAACCCACCCACCCATCAATCCATCCATCAATCCATCCACCCACTCATCAACCCACCCAACCATCAATCCACCCACCCATCAACCCACCCACCCATCAACCCACCCACCCATCAACCCACCCACCCATCAATCCACCCACCCATCAATCCACCCACCCATCAACCCACCCACCCATCAATCCACCCACCCATCAACCCACCCACCCATCAACCCACCCACCCATCAACCCACCCACCCATCAACCCACCCACCCGTCAATCCATCCATCAATCCATCCATCAATCCATCCACCCACCCATCAACCATCCACCCACCCATCAACCATCCACCCACCCATCAACCATCCACCCACCCATCAATCCTCCCATCTCTTCATCCATTTATCTACCCCCTTCCCCCTTTCCCCGTTCTCAAAAAGTAATTAATAAGTACTGAAACTAGTGTACGAGTCTTAGCACTGATGACCTAACACACTCGACGGTCATCCCACGCCACCGTTCACCCGTGACTACACGAGACTACGACACTGGCCGCCTCGGTCATTGTCGTGGTCTTTATAATTGTTAATATTACTAAAGCATTTAACTTCCGCCGACCCCGACCAGCTGATGTCCGTCCCGGTGTACAGAGCCTGGCCGGCAAGTATAACCAGGTATACACAGCCTGGCAGGCAAGTATAGCCAGGTATACATGCGGGAAGAAGTCACTGCATTAATCAAACGGTAGCTCTGGGCAAGTCTTGCGAGCCCAAGCTCGAGCCTACAAGTACATCTACTCTATATATCATTTACTCGAGGGCCACTAACATTAGTGGCCTCGACGAGGACAGGAAGTCGGCGGCTTGTCAAAGGTCTTCCCATTTCCCCTGACGATGTTTTCCAGTTGGATTTATAAAAATTTAGGTTACATTTGTGTAATGTTTTAAATTTAGGGAAGTATGTAAAGAGCATAGAGCGAGAGGAGTTGATGGAGCTTAACACATGAGGATTAAGTTGATAAAGGGAGAGGTGCAGGTTAAGGGTAGTGTGGAGCAGAGGTTAAGGGTAGTGAGGAGCAGAGGTTAAGGGTAGTGAGGAGCAGAGGTTAAAGGTAGTGAGGAGCAGAGGTTAAGGGTAGTGAGGAGCAGAGGTTAAGGGTAGTGAGGAGTAGAGGTTAAGGGTAGTGTGGAGCAGAGGTTAAGGGTAGTGAGGAGCAGAGGTTAAGGGTAGTGTGGAGCAGAGGTTAAGGGTAGTGTGGAGCAGAGGTTAAGGGTAGTGTGGAGCAGAGGTTAAGGGTAGTGAGGAGCAGAGGTTAAGGGTAGTGAGGAGCAGAGGTTAAGGGTAGTGAGGAGCAGAGGTTAAGGGTAGTGTGGAGCAGAGGTTAAGGGTAGTGTGGAGCAGAGGTTAAGGGTAGTGTGGAGCAGAGGTTAAGGGTAGTGAGGAGCAGAGGTTAAGGGTAGTGAGGAGCAGAGGTTAAGGGTAGTGTGGAGCAGAGGTTAAGGGTAGTGAGGAGCAGAGGTTAAGGGTAGTGTGGAGCAGAGGTTAAGGGTAGTGTGGAGCAGAGGTTAAGGGTAGTGAGGAGCAGAGGTTAAGGGTAGTGTGGAGCAGAGGTTAAGGGTAGTGTGGAGCAGAGGTTAAGGGTAGTGTGGAGCAGAGGTTAAGGGTAGTGAGGAGCAGAGGTTAAGGGTAGTGAGGAGCAGAGGTTAAGGGTAGTGAGGAGCAGAGGTTAAAGGTAGTGAGGAGCAGAGGTTAAGGGTAGTGTGGAGCAGAGGTTAAGGGTAGTGAGGAGCAGAGGTTAAGGGTAGTGTGGAGCAGAGGTTAAGGGTAGTGTGGAGCAGAGGTTAAGGGTAGTGAGGAGCAGAGGTTAAGGGTAGTGAGGAGTAGAGGTTAAGGGTAGTGTGGAGCAGAGGTTAAGGGTAGTGAGGAGCAGAGGTTAAGGGTAGTGAGGAGCAGAGGTTAAGGGTAGTGAGGAGCAGAGGTTAAGGGTAGTGTGGAGCAGAGGTTAAGGGTAGTGAGGAGCAGAGGTTAAGGGTAGTGAGGAGCAGAGGTTAGGTTGGAGTGGGAGAAGCAGCAGCGGTTGGAGTACTCACCCCACACTTGTAGACGGGGTGGTGGTGGTCCCCGGGCCTGACGCTCGAGTCCCACACGGCCAGGTAGTTGTTGCCGTCGTGTCCCACCCACGACCCCAGGCACTGCAGGCTGCCGTCTGCGACAGGGACACCTTCACTCCACACCACCACCATAATGCCCTCACTCTACTACACCTACAACACTCACGCTCCACTCATCAACACTCTTGCAATATATGTAATAATGTTAATCACAATAATATTAAAGCTAATTTCACCAAAATTCTACGTTTAGAACTTTTACACAATCATCATACTAAGATGAACGGCATCTGATCAAGGCTTTTAGAGGTAGCTCTAGCACAACATCTCTCTACACACACACACACACACACACACACACACACACAGGGCCTCGTAGCCTGGTGGATAGCGCGCAGGACTCGTAATTCTGTGGCGCGGGTTCGATTCCCGCACGAGGCAGAAACAAATGGGCAAAGTTTCTTTCACCCTAAGTGCCCCTGTTACCTAGCAGTAAATAGGTACCTGGGAGTTAGTCAGCTGTCACGGGCTGCTTCCTGGGGTGTGTGTGGTGTGGAAAAAGAAAAGTAGTTAGTAAACAGTTGATTGACAGTTGAGAGGCGGGCCGAGAGAGCAAAGCTCAACCCCCGCAAAAACACAACTAGTAAACACACACACAAAGGAAGTGTGAGAGGAACTGAATAAGAAATTCCAGGAGATCTTCACCGTAGAGCAAGGAGAAATTCCAGAGATAAGAGAGGGAATAGCTAACCAGGAACCACTGGAAGAGTTTGAGATTACCAGCGGGGAAGTAAGGAAGTGTTTACTAGAGTTGGATGTGACAATGGCTATAGGCCCAGATGGAATCTCCCCTTGGATACTAAAGGAAGGAGCAGAAGAACTGTGCCTACCACTCTCCATAGTGTATAACAAATCACTGGCAACAGGGGAACTGCCAGAAATTTGGAAAGCAGCTAACGTAGTCCCGATATACAAGAAAGGGGATAGACAGGAGGCACTGAACTACAGGCCAGTGACCCTAACCTGCATACCATGCAAGCTGATGGAGAAGATTGTGCAAAGAAAGCTAGTGGGGCATCTGGAGCGAAGGAACTTTGTAACACAGCATCAACATGGGTTCAGGGATGGAAGGTCCTGCCTCACAGGGTTACTTGAATTCTACGACCAGGTAACAAAAATAAGGTAAGAAAGAGAAGGGTGGGCAGACTGCATATTTTTGGATTGTCAGAAAGCCTTTGATACAGTACCACACAAGAGGCTAGTGAAAAAGCTGGAGATGCAGGCTGGAGTGAAAGGGAAGGTACTCCATTGGATACAGGAGTACCTAAGCAACAGGAGACAACGAGTCAGTGTGAAGGGTGAGGTCTCAGATTGGCGAGACGTTACGAGTGGAGTCCCGCAGGGGTCAGTCCTTGGACCTATACCGTTTCTGATATATGTAAATGATCTCCCGGAGGGTATAGAATCTTTTCTCTCAATGTTTACCGATGATGCAAAAATTATGAGGAGGATTGAAACTGAGGACGATAGTAGGAGGCTACAAGATGACCTAGACAGACTGAGTGAATGGTCTAACAAATGGCTGTTGAAGTTCAACCCGAGTAAATGCAAAGTAATGAAACTAGGCAGTGGAAACAGGAGGCCAGACACAGAATACAGAATAGGAGATGAAGTACTTAATGAAACAGACAGAGAGAAAGATCTAGGAGTTGATATCACACCAAACCTGTCTCCTGAAGCCCACATAAAAAGAATAACGTCTGCGGCATATGCGAGGCTGGCTAACATCAGAACAGCCTTCAGGAACCTGTGTAAGGGATCATTCAGAATCTTGTATACCACATATGTAAGATCAATCTTGGAGTATGCGGCCCCAGCATGAAGCCCGTACCTTGTCAAGCACAAGACGAAGCTGGAAAAAGTCCTAAGGTATGCCACTAGACTAGTCCTAGAACTAAGAGGCGTGAGTTACGAGGAAAGGCTGCGGGAAATGCACCTTACGACACTGGAAGGCAGAAGAGTAAGGGGAGACATGATCACAACCTACAAAATCCTCAGAATAGTTTATCCCTGTCCACCCTGACCGGGTGGACAGGGATAAACTATTCAACACTGGTGGGACGCGAACAAGGGGACACAGGTGGAAACTGAGTACCCACATGAGCCACAGAGGCGTTAGAAGGAACTTCTTCAGTGTCAGAGTAGTTAACAGATGGAATACATTAGGCAGTGATGTGGTGGAGGCTGACTCCATACACAGTTTCAAGTGTAGATATGATAGTGCCCAATAGGCTCAGGAATCTGTACACCAGTTGATTGACAGTTGAGAGGCAGGACCAAAGAGCCAGAGCTCAACCCCCGCAAGCACAACTAGGCGAGTACACACACTCAACTGCTCGAGAGTGAGGGAGTGAGAGAGCCGGGAAGAAAGGAGACAAGGGTTCAGAAGTCTGCCACACACAAGATTATTACAAACTATGGAGATTCAAGTGACAAATCGCTGCAAAGTTTCAATACAAATGGAATTTTCTCACGTAAATTCTAGGGAACAGACTATAAATTTGCTTGTCCATGGACAAGAGCAGCCTATATATACGTACGTGTGTGTGTGTGTGTGTGTGTGTGTGTGTGTGTGTGTGTGTGTGTGTGTGTGTGTGTGTGTGTGTGTGTGTGTGTATTATATATATATATATATAATGTCGTACCTAGTAGCCAGAACGCACTTCTCAGCCTACTATGCAAGGCCCAATTTGCCTAATAACCCAAGTTTTCCTGAATTAATATATTTTCTCTAATTTTTTTTCTTATGAAATGAGAAAGCTACTCATTTCATTATGTATGAGGTCAATTTTTTTTATTGGAGATAAAATTAACAGATATATGACCGAACCTAACCAACCCTACCTAATCTATCTATATAGGTTAGGTTAGGTAGCCGAAAAAGTTAGGTTAGGTAGTCGAAAAAACATTAATTCATGAAAACTTGGCTTATTAGGCAAATCGGGCCTTGCATAGTAGGCTGAGAAGTGCGTTCTGGCTACTAGGTACGACATATATATATATATATATATATATATATATATATATATGCTGTAGCCTATATAGCTTCCTTACGCTATAAGCTTACGCTATATGACTTTAGCTTCCTTACTGTGTAAGGAAGCTAGTCACAGGCGCGCGACAGTGTGGACAAAATACACGAAGCAAAGAACAATTACCTGAAATCCTTGCACTGTCTCCACATTTTGCTTCCAGTAGATGAACGACATATGAGACTCAGAAACAAGTAGTGTATTGTGAGGACTAATAATAATCAGAAGCTCCCCTATGACTCTAATATCCACATTGGTCAAACTATTATGTATTAGCGATAAGACCTACCATTAATGTATGATGACTTACTGTAAATATGTAGCTCTTGTAATAGCACTTTCTTTGTAACTAGCTGACATTGTAACTATAAGGTGTGAAGGATAGATCACATTGTTTATGTAATAATCTAAGATGAGGTCTGATAAAGACCTTTTGTGCCCTCTGTAATGCTTTTGCGCTACCGCTCACAGGATGAGTATGGGGTGCACAATAAACTAGCCGCCTTCGGCGGCAACAATCAACAATCAAAAAAGCAAAGAACATGGGACATGAGACATGGACGGACGAGAGTAGGAACAAGTAATCCTGAAAGAAAAACAGAAGAATTTGAAACTTGCCTTGAGATAGAGGAGAGGTGAGAGAGACCACCTTGGCCACAATAGGAGACGGACAGTAAAGACACAGGCGACCACACTCACGACACAATACCACCAGCTTCAAGGTCTTCACAACAAAGTACATTGAAGCACGTAACGTGTCAAGCCAAGGGACACGGGGGGAGGGGGGAGGTACACGGGGGGCGGGGGGGGGGGGGGGGGAGGGGGAGGGGGGGGGGATAATGATATTGGCCGACATGAAGGAAGGAAGGAAGCACTTGCTGGCATTAGTCATGACGAGCCTTGAGTCTAGAGAAGGTGTCTATATGTCTCCTAAGAGAGGGGAGCGTGTACTGTGCTGGCCACCTGCAAGGATGCACTAGTCAGTGTGAAGAGGTAACTGCCAGGAAGCTGGTAGCCAGTCAGTAGTGTAACAATATACAGGGGGGGGGGAGGGAGGCACACAAAGATCTCTGGCACGAGTGCCAACCAGAGTGATGGAGAGCCTAGTCATAAGATCATCTGGAAAGAAGAGTTAACACCGCTCTAGCATGGACATGCTGATGGAAAATCCTGCCTCAGACCTGATTAATTTCTGTGAGAAATAAAGGACCAAAACGGACGGGCAGATTACATTATGTACTGCCACAGCCAGCCCGTGACAGCGCCTCAGGTTACCTGGAGCGTCTTGTGTACTCCACGGAATGTAGAGGTAAACAATGCCCCGTTAACATGCACAACCTCGGCTATAATGACAAATATTTTCTTTAATTTCAAGATAAAAGTGCACAGTGAGTGCTTGAAAGACAACAAGCACAAACACAGTGTGGTGGTCAAGTTCACAAGATGGCTTCGATGTGGGAACACTGAACACTCTTGGACAATCAATAAAGATTGTAAGAAGTAATGTAAAGCGATTGTCAAGTAAAGGAGACAATCCATAAATAGATTCAAATGATCCGTCAACCTGAAGATGTGGCTGCCAGTAAACCTATCTTTTAAAGGTTAAGAAGGGAGACCCAAGAGCTGAAGCTGAACCCCTGCAAACAGAGCTAGAACAGGGCGAGCGTTGTTGCCCGCCCGCTGGCACGCACGCACGTATGTATGTACATTTATAGGAGCCTGATAGCTGAGATGACAGAGCTTTGGATTTAATCCTAGGGTCCGGGTTCGATCCCTAGTGATGGCAGAAACAAAATGGGCAGAGTTTCTTTCACTCTGATGCCCCTGTTACCTAGCAGTAAATAGGTGCCTGGATGTTAGACAGCTGTCACGGGCTGCTTCCTGGGTGTGTGTGTTTGGATAAATAAATTAGTAACAGTTGATTGACAGTTGAGAGGTGGGCCGAAAGAGCAGAGCTCAACCCCCGCAAGCACAACTAGGTGAACACACACACACCTAGAGAACATCAGGTTTGTAAACAAACACCAACATGGGTTCTGGACAGGGAAATCTTGCCTAACAAACTTTTGGAATTCTATGATAAAATAACGAGGATAAGGCAGGACAAAGAAGGTTGGGCAGACTGCATATTTCTGGACTGCCAAAAAGCCTTTGATACAGTGCCGCACACGAGACTACTATTCAAACTTGAGAGGCAGGCGGGAGTAAGCAGAAAGGTCCTAGCATGGGTAAGGAACTACCTAACAGGAAGGAGTTACGGAAAGGGGGCGAGAAGTCGGACTGGCGAACAGTAACGAGTGGAATATCTCAAGGATCGGTGCTGGGGCAAATTCTATTTCTAATATACGTTAATGACATGTTTACACGATAGACTCCTACATGTCGATGTTCGCGGATGACGCAATGTTGATGAGAAGAGTTGTGACAGATGAGGATTGTAGGATCCTCCAAGAGGAGTTGGTCAGGTTGCAGAGATAGTCAGAGAAATGGCTACTGGAGTTCAACACGAGCAAATGTAATGTTATGGAAATGGGACTAGGTGATAGGAGACCAAAGGGACAGTACACAATGAAAGGGAACTGCCTACCTGTGACGATACGAGAGAGACCTGGGCTTGGACGTAACACCTAATCTAACTCCTGAGGCACACAAATAGAATAACGACAGCAGCGTATTCTACACTGGCAAAAGTTAGATCATTCAGAAACCTAAATCAGGAGGCATTTAGGGCGCTTTACACTGCCTACGTGAGGCCAGTCTTAGAGTATGCCGCGCCATCATGGAGTCCCCACCTGAAGAAACACATAAGGAAACTGGAAAAGATTCATTAGTTGCAACGAGACTCGTCCCAGCGTTACGAGGGATGGGATATGAAGAGCGTCTGAAGGAACCGAGCCTTACGACACTGGAAAAAAGAAGGGAGAGGCGGGGATATGATAGGAATGTATAAAATACTCAGGGGGGGATTGACAGAGTGGACATAGACGAAATGTTCACAGGGAATAGTAACAAAACGAGGGGACATGGGTGAAGCTGGAAACTCAGACGAGTCACAGATAGGAAGTTTCCTTTCTTTTTCTTTTAGCGTGAGAGTGGTGGAAAAATGGAATGCATTTAAGGAGCAGGTTGTGGAAGAAAATTATATTCATAATTTTAAAACTAGATATGATAGGGAAATATGACCGGAGTCATTGCTGTATACAATCGATGGCTCGAAAGGCGGGATTCAAGAGTCAATGCTCGATACTGCAGGCACAAATAGGTGAATACAAATAGATGAGTACACACACACACACACACACACACACACACACACACACACACAAAAGACTCACTTCGCGGGCTAGGGAAGGTACAGTCACGGTAGGTGAGGCTGAAGCCGAAGCCGTGGGGGCAGTTGGAGAAGTGTGAGGTGGGCTGGTCGCAGGAGTCTCCGTCCCACCCCCTGCTGCTGGGGTCGGCGTCCCCACGTCGGTAGGTGAAGGTGTAGCGACCGTTCAGGGGACACTCCACCGACCTCACTGCGTCCTCTCCCCAAGATGTCTTGCTCTCTGGACGCCACAACACACGCCATTACAACACCGGCCTCAACACCCTCATCCGGCGCCTTTATTATTATTACATTACCCATTATTATTGTTAAACTATATTATAAACAATATGGGGCACCCGAGTGGGCCCAGGCTGTGATGCACCCCATTATGTGGAGCCAAGACGGCGGCGTGGGAGCCTTCTTAACACTTACTATAGAGCGTAAGGTGGGTGGCGGTGCGGGCGGCGAGGTGGGCGGCGGAGGGGCAGGTGCGGAGGGCGGCCTCCTCGCTGGTGTAGCAGGTCTCCAGCCCCGTGGACCACACCTGCACCACCTGTGGCGTCACCACCTCCAGCTGGATACACCGGTAACACACAGTGCTCCCAGACCTGCGGGACACGAGGCTCGTCAAACACCTCACACTACACCTCCCTCTCTGGTTTGGGGCAAGATGGAGTTACAGCTGAAGCAAACACTGTAGGCAGGTGAAATATAGTTGTGACGGGCGGGCTGTCCGCCTTCCTCGGACTATTTTATACCAAATCTATGCTTGGTGTGTGTGTCGCCTGGGATTATTATTATTATTGTTTTAGATTCAGCTACTGGGAAGAAAAAGTTCAAAGTAGCACGGGCTATGGCGAGCCCCTAGTGGACTTACCTGGCACAAGAGCGGGGCTGAAGCCAGGCGTGCTTCCCTCACCTGGGATGTGGAGAGCGTTTATAAGGGTCGGGACATGCAGAAGGTAGCAGCGGGAGGGCAGGACCGAGAGTTAGGATTAAGGTATGTTGTAGGATTAAGGGCCCTTAAGAATAGGCTCGTAATGTTAAAGAGCCGGTGCTTATTTGTATATAATTTTTATATCCATGGCACCTATACCCGGTGTGACGTCAGAGTCTCGTAAATAAACGCCATGGTGTCCAGACCCGTGTTTCCCACCGTGCCCCCACACAGCACAGAGCGGCCGCTTGCCCGCACAGATAAACCTACCTGTCGGTAAGCATGACATAATGATCGAGCCGCTGATGACAGGCGCCCCACTGGACGATGGCGTCTGACTGTATGGTGACGACCTGGTAGGTGATGGGCGGCCTCGACCCCTGCCTACCCTCGGCACGCCCGCCGCCCGTCGCCTGCGTCACCCACACTCCCTGCAGCTCCCCGGGGAAGAAACACACGCACCACCCTGTAGGAGAGAGAGACACCTTTACAGCAGCCATGTGCACCATCGTACATATATTAGCGTAATGGACAATTACTATTGAATTTGGACAACCCGGAAAATGTTTTGAATTTATGTTGTTAATAAGAGCTAAACTAACCTATCCATCTTAGGCCTAATACAAGTTATCTGAGGCCTAATATTACACATATATGTGCTATACCAGGCCGTGGAATATTTCAGTTTGGTTGTGTCACAGATTCCGCAAAAGCCTTGGTGTTATTGAACATAAAATGCGTTCAAAAGGAATTACCGGAAAAATAGGCAGATGGATCTACAATTTCCTGACTAACAGAACCCAATGTGTAATAGTCAACAAAATAAAATCCAGCCCATCAACCGTGAAGAGCTCAGTCCCCCAGGGTACTGTGCTTGCTCCAGTACTTTTTTCTCATCCTCATATCGGACATAGACAAGAACACAACCTATAGTACTGTATCATCCTCTGCAGATGACACTAGGATCTTCATGAGAGTTGGCAACAGAGGACACGGCGAACCTCCAATCAGATGAAGATCAGGTCTTTCTATGGGCTACAGAAAATAATATGGTTAACGAATTTCCAGCTCATGCGCTCCGGAAAAAATGAAAATTTAAAAAAACAGAAACCACGTACAAAACTCAGGCAAATCATAACATTGAACGAAAAGGCAATGTAAAGGATCTGGGTGTACTCATGTCGGAAGACCTTACCTTTAAAGAACACAATAAAGTAGCCGTCACAACTGCAAGAAAAATGACAGGTTGGATAACAAGAGCTTTTCACACTAGAGATGCTATACCGATGATGATACTCTTCAAGACACTAGTGCTCTCTAGAGTGGAGTACTGCTGCACAATGACAGCCCCTTTCAAAGCTGGAGAAATTGCTGACCTGGAGAGCGTGCAGAGATCCTTTACTGCTAGAATCCACTCAGTAAAACATCTAAACTATTGGGACCGACTAAAGAGCCTAAATCTGTACTCCCTTGAGCGCAGGCGGGAGAGATACATAATTTACACGTGGAAAATAGTAGAAGGGCTGGTCCCAAACCTGCACACAGCAATAACACCACATGAGACCAGAAGACATGGCAGGATGTGCAGAATACCCCCGTTGATGAGCAGAGGTGCAACAGGTACTCTGAGAGAACTATCAACATCAGAGGTCCGAGACTGTTCAACACGCTTCCGCTACACATAAGGGGCATAACTGGCCGACCCCTCACAGTGTTCAAGAGAGAACTTGACAAGCACCTCCAAAAATAATACCTGATCAACCAGGCTGTGACTCATACGTCAGGCTGCGAGCAGCTGCGTCCAACAACCTGGTTGACCAGTCCAGCAACCAGGAGGTCTGGTCAACGACCGGGCCGCGGAGACGCTAAGCCCCAAAATCATCTCAAGGTAAGTCTTATAGCATATTTATGTTGCAAAATTCTAAATGTCAAATCTTTGGATGTTTGGGCTACATAGACCCTATTAGTCTTCACAAGGTATGTTAACATTACTTGCACTGAGTGCAGTAATGTACTTTATATATCTTACTGTAAGTATTGTACCACATTCAAATCTGCACTATTTACAATTTGTGACTGCAGAATCGAGCTATTTAGCTCATGCACCCCGCACCCCGCATTTCTAACCAATCTATTTTTCCTCTCTTATATCTACTACATATATTTTTGTTTAATGCATGGACGCGTGCGCACACATCCCCAGGAAGCAGCCCGTAGCAGCTGTCTAACTCCCAGGTACCTATTTACTGCTAGGTGAAAAGGGGCATCAAGGTGAAAAACTGCCCATTTGTTTCCGCCTCCACCTGGGATCGAACCCGGGCCCTTAGGACCACGACTTCCGAGCGCTGTCCACTTCGCCGCAAGACCCCCAACTATACTCTAGTACATTGGTTCAGGTGAGGTTAGGTAAGGTTGTTAGTCTTTGTTAGCGCTTTATATATCTTTACACTTATGGGTAAGTTATTTTAAACTTTAAAAATAATTTAACATTTTGGCCTCTAATTACTAAAATATTTTACATCTTTAATTATGGGTAAATCGTTTTAATTATCAAAGTATTTGATATGTCGAAAAAGGACAGTGATTATTGGCTTCTCTTAGTTTAAATGAACGAACAACAGTTAATAATGACTTAAGTATTTATTAACTTGCTGTCATCATTTTTGTTTTTTAAATAAAATACGTATTTAACACGAGTTACGGACACACACACACACACACACACACACACAGGAATCAGTACAGGAAGAGGCCGAACCCCCAAACATACCAGCGATACAAAGATGCGAGAAACAACTACACGGCAGTGAGGAGAGAGGGAGAAAGAAATTTTGAAAAAGGGATTGCAGACAAATGTAAAACAGAACCAGGTCTATTCTACAAATTCATAAACAACAAATTGCAGGAAAAGGATAATATCCAGAGGTTGAAAATGGGAAACAGATTCACGGAAAATGAAAAGGAAATGTGTGAAACATTAAATGAAAAGTTCCAAAGTGTGTTTGTACAAAATGAAATTTTCAGAGAACCAGACACAATAAGAATTCCAGAGAACAACATAGAGCGGATAGAGGTGTCTAGAGATGAAGTGGAAAATATGCTAAAGGAGCTCAGTAAGAACAAAGCAGCTGGCCCAGATGGCGTTTCACCATGGGTTCTGAGAGAATGTGCATCTGAGCTCAGCTTTCCACTTCACCTGATCTTTCAGGCATCCCTGTGTACAGGAACCGTAGCAGACGTGTGGAAACAGGCTAACATAGTTCCAATCTACAAACGTGGCAGCAGGGAAGACCCCCTCAATTATAGACCTGTATCATTGACAAGTGTAATAGTGAAAGTATTGGAAAAACTAATCAAAACTAAATGGGTAGAACACCTGGAGAGAAATGATATAATATCAGACAGACAGTATGGTTTTCGATCTGGAAGATCCTGTGTATCAAATTTACTCAGTTTCTATGATCGAGCAACAGAGATATTACAGGAAAGGTTGGGTTGACTGCATCTATCTGGACCTAAAAAAGGCTTTTGACAGTTTCACATAAGAGGTTGTTCTGGAAACTGGAAAATATTGGAGGGGTGACAGGTAAGCTTCTAACATGGATGAAAAATTTTCCGACTGATAGAAAAATGAGGGCAGTAATCAGAGGCAATGTATCGGAATGGAGAAATGTCACAAGTGGAGTACCACAGAGTTCAGTTCTTGCACCAGTGATGTTTATTGTGTACATAAATGATCTACCAGTTGGTATACAGAATTATATGAACATGTTTGCTGATGATGCTAAGATAATAGGAAGGATAAGAAATTTAGATGATTGTCATGCCCTTCAAGAAGACCTGGACAAAATAAGTATATGGAGCACCACTTGGCAAATGGAATTTAATGTTAATAAATGTCATGTTATGGAATGTGGAATAGGAGAACAGATCCCACACAACCTATATATTATGTGAGAAATCTTTAAAGAATTCTGATAAAGAAAGAGATCTAGGGGTGTTCTAGATAGAAAATTATCACCTGAGGACCACATAAAGAATATTGTGCGAGGAGCCTATGCCACGCTTTCTAACTTCAGAATTGCTTTTAAATACATGGATGGCGATATACTAAAGAAATTGTTCACGACTTTTGTTAGGCCAAAGCTAGAATATGCAGCTGTTGTGTGGTGCCCATATCTTAAGAAGCACATCAACAAACTGGAAAAGGTGCAAAGACATGCTACTAAGTGGCTCCCAGAACTGAAGGGCAAGAGCTACGAGGAGAGGTTAGAGGCATTAAACATGCCAAAACTAGAAGACAGAAGAAAAAGAGGTGATATGATCACTACATACAAAATAGTAACAGGAATTGATAAATCGACAGGGAAGATTTCCTGAGACCTGGAACTTTAAGAACAAGAGGTCATAGATTTAAACTAGCTAAACACAGATGCCGAAGAAATATAAGAAAATTCACCTTCGCAAATAGAGTGGTAGACGGTTGGAACAAGTTAAGTGAGAAGGTGGTGGAGGCCAAGACCGTCAGTAGTTTCAAAGCGTTATATGACAAAGAGTGCTGGGAAGACGGGACACCACGAGCGTAGCTCTCATCCTGTAACTACACCTAGGTGTAGTTTTGAAGAAGCCATAAACAGTATGCCTATGCACTCTGCACCAGACCCGGATTCTTGGAACTCCATATTCATCAAGAACTGTAAAAAAACCACTATCGCAGGCCCTTCACATTCTGTGGAGACAAAGCCTAGATACTGGCGTTATCCCTGATATACTAAAAACAGCAGAGATAGCACCACTCCATAAAGGAGGAAATAAGGCAGAGGCAAAAAATTACAGACCGATAGCACTAACATCGCACATCATAAAAATTTTTGAGAGAGTGCTAAGAAGTAAGATCACAAAATACATGGAATCACAGCATCTCCATAACCCCGGACAACATGGTTTCAGAACAGGGCGCTCTTGCCTGTCGCAGTTGCTGGACCACTATGATATGGCATTAGATGCTATGGAAGACAAACAAAACGCTGATGTAATTTACACAGATTTCGCAAAAGCTTTTGATAAATGTGACCATGGTGTTATTGCACATAAAATGCGTTCAAAAGGAATTACCGGGAAAATAGGCAGATGGATCTACAATTTCCTGACTGACAGAACCCAATGTGTAATAGTCAACAAAATAAAATCCAGCCCATCAACCGTGAAGAGCTCAGTCCCCCAGGGTACTGTGCTTGCTCCAGTACTTTTTCTCATCCTCATATCGGACATAGACCAGAACACAACCTATAGCACTGTATCATCCTTTGCAGATGACACTAGGATTTTCATGAGAGTTGGCAACATAGAGGACACGGCAAACCTCCAATCAGATGTTGATCAGGTCTTTCTATGGGCTACAGAAAATAATATGGTATTCAACGAGGATAAGTTTCAGCTCATGCGCTACGGAAAAATTGAAAATAT